TCCCCGTTGACTCCGCGTACTCCTCGCGGCGAGCAGGATTACCGGAGTCAACGGGGAGCACTTCTGAGTTCGATTTATCCGTCCAGACTAGACGCGATAAATCGAACCCAGAAGTTCGATTGCCTGCCGCCGAACCAGCGCGGTAAGTATAGACAAGACCTTACATCCAGAACGTCAATTAAATCACCGGGAGTTAAGCACCTAAATACCTGTGGGGACGTAGGCCTTATCCTCTCTACTGCCTTCACCCCACTTTACATGCAAGGAACTAAATGCACCTACCTCACACAGGTGCTGTCAGCATTAATAAGTTCATTGTAAAATAGAAAGCTCCATGTAAGTACCAATTTCCTCCCATCCCTTTTTTAACTTTGCCCTGATGGGGCCTGGGGCAGGCCTATTGGGACTAGTGAAAACCCCACTCCCACAAGAAGAAACAGAGTAAAGACTAGCAGAGAAACTTTGGATTTCCAGCAAAAATTCATCTCTCTCTCCCCAAACCATGGAAGATTTTACTATCAATTTAGAGCAGGGTCAATAGCTTGGCATCATGCCCAAGTTTTCGGCAATCAAATCAATAGCTACGGGGGACTACAGGTCCCCATCCCCCCTTACAGTTTAAAGAAGGAAATATTAAGATGGAGAGAAAAATAAAACCAAAGAATTTTGATCTGTAAACCCTCCAGTGCTGGGACAGCTGCAAAACAGGCAATAGGGTTGTGTAAGAGACCGTGTCTGCCAAAACTGAAACTTGGCAAAAAGGAAATTCCTCCCCAGCCCTCCACTACCGCAGTTCAGCTGTTTGTAAACCCCTTCAGACGGCCGCACGCACCTCGAAGGCAACTCATTTAAGTGGCAGATCGCAGCTGAAGAAAAGCCACATACCTCTCGGGAGTCGCCGACAAGGTCCTGATCCCTTTACACTCAGCCAAACAAATCTTTCCTAACCAGAGAGATCGTGAGTTTACCTCCTGCCTCTTCGGGGCGACTCCTCCCTTGTAGGCTCCTCCTTCGTGCCCCTGCCCACACACAAACCGCTTCTTGCAAATACAAGAGACTGGGGCCTGGGGCAAAACGAAAACAGGAAAGAAGAGACATTTTGGTGCAGGCAGCTCCCAGCGTTAGCCCCCTTCTCCCAGGAGCACCGCGCACTTGGCAAACGTCGCTTTAGCGGTAGAAGGTTGAAGTTTGTTTATAACCCCGATGTGCTGCACCAAGCAGCTCCGGTCACACTCTCCCCTCCTCCCCGCAGTTCTTCTCCGCATTGCAACAGCCTCCCTGCAGAGCTGCAGTGAGAACTCGCTCTCCGGAAGAAGGGAAAGCCCAGGGCCGGGTAATACCACCCGGTGGGCAGAGGTGAACCGACCCTACAGGGGCCTCTTTAATAACGGATAAATACGTAGCTCTCAAAAAACTACAGCAGAGGAAACGGAACAGGAGATTAGGAAAAATGGTCACAGACGCTTTTCAGCCTCCTCGCCTGCTGCTAGCCACGCCTGAGCTTCCAGTCCCCTTAGATCTCTGCTCCTAGACACTCACGAATGCTTAGCCCCCTTCCAGCCCGGATCCTGGTACCCTGACCCTCATTTCTAAGCTCCTACCCACACCTGAGCATCGAGGTGCCATTAATCCCTGCTCCCCAGCACCTACCTCTCTGCTTCTAGCCCACAGAGCCTGTCCCACACCACTGATCAACCTAGGTGACCAGATATCCCGATTTTATAGGGACAGTCCCGATATTTGGGGCTTTTTAAATATATGTAAAGGCTCCTATTTCTCCCTACCCCCGGTCCCAATTTTTCACACTTGCTATCTGGTCACCCGATCCACCCAAGCCTGCCCCTCCATCCCTTTTCTGTGATTTTGGCTTAACACTGCAGAGAGAAGCCAGCTAGGGTAACCTGTGTGCATAACCTGCCTGGCTCCCCAGATGCACAGGACATGCGGGGTTTCCTTAACCCTCCCCACACACACACACAATTCTTTCCATCTCTCTTGAAGCAGAGCCAACCCCAAGTGCATGCCCCTGACTCAGGGCCTGCTATCAGTTCTGCTCATTGCTGACAACCAGGACAAGGACCCTGTGATCCTAATCTCCACAAATTCTCCGCCCTTCCTTCCTGGTCCCTCAGCACAGCACCTGGCAAACAGGCTGCTGTGCGGTCTCCTTGGCATAGGGGAGGTGGAACTTGATGGAATAGTTGAGGAAGGTTAAATGTATCTTCATACTTCTCCTCTAGGGGTGAGCAGATACTGGACAGGGGGACAAGTGTGTGTATGTGAATTAAAAGTTCAGTGTGATAGTTGTCCACTGCTTTCCATCCCAAAGGAACCCATACGACTTTAAAGATTATATTGCTTTCTCAGGGATCACTCATTCCGGAAATGCAGCCACCTCTTCAGCAGCTAACAGCCAAGCTGAAAGAAGTTTGGGACAAGCAGTGGCATATACAGTCTCCAAATGAAACTGCATAGAGACTTCTAAGGAAACAGCATTTTGCTGTACTTTACCAATGTAGATTGTGCTTTGCATTTCTTCCCATTCTACAAATGAGGAAAACTGAGGCATAGTGCAAGCCTGCACAAGCATAGTAAGAACAGGGGAGGATGGGTGGTCTAGAGAATAAGGCAGTGTACTGGGAATCAGGAGATTGAGGACTTGTCTACACTGTGAAGTGGTCGACAAAACGTTTGTCTTTCACAGGTACTTAAAAAAGCCCCCCTGCGAAAGACAAAAGTTTTGCCAATGCAGGTGGTGGCGTGAACGCGGTTCTCTCCTGCTGACAAAGCTAATGCTGCTCGCGGGGCAGGAAGTATTTTATCGGCAAAAGAGCTGACAAAGTACAGAAAAAGAGCATTTACACACACAGACACTTAGCGACAAGGCTGTGTCAACACAGGCTTGTCACTAAAAGCTGCATGGTGTAGACAAGCCCCTAGATTCTACTGTCAGCTTTGGCACTGATGCACTGTGTGCTCTTGGGCAAGTCCCTTCCCCTCTCATTCATTATTGATTTAGCACAGGGGTCAGCAACCTATGGCACGCATGCCAAAGGTGGCACGCGAGCTGATTTTTAATGGCACGCTGCTGCCAGCCGAGGTCCCTGCCACCGGCCCTGCTCAGCCCGCTGCCGGCCTGGGTGAAAAAAACCCCAGGCCAGCAGCGGGCTGAGCGGGGCAAGTGGCCAGGACCCCAGGCCGGCAGTGAGCTGAGTGGGGCCGGCAGCTGGGACCCCAGAGCAGCAGCGGGCTGAGCTGCTCAGCCCGCTGCCGGTCTGGGGTCCCAGCTGCCGGCCCTGCTCAGCCTGCTGCTCTCCGACAGGGAGTTCCTCCGGGAAGGGCAGGCAGCCACTGGCCAGGGATTCTTCCCCGTGGGGCACCTGGGTGATCTTGGATGTGAGTTCCAAAGCCCCTGCCCACGGGGCTCGGGGAGCACTGGGGGGGACTGGGCTCTGGGAAGCAGCTGCGTTAGGGCTCCCAGATGCTGCATGAGCAGCTTGTGCGACTCTCTCCTGGCCCCTGGACTTTAAAGAGGGAGTCTGGACTGGTGCAAGGCGCCACATGTCACAACTGGCCCCCCTCTTTGCATGGCCTCGCTGCCGCCTCATGCTCCCACTCTCCTCTCCCCTTCTCTGGCACTGCATCAGCCCAGGAGGGGGCTGTGCCCCCGGTGCCCCGAGCCAGCCGGGCAGCGGTAGGGTGGAGGGATTTTGCAGCCTCTGGAAAGACAGCAAGAGCCTCCCTGTCTCCATCTGCTATCTGTGAATCCTAACACAGTGGCACTTCAGCTCAGGCGAGAGTGGCCCCCCCGGTCTGGGCAGCTTTCAGCCCCCAGGAGAGTTCAGGTTTAAAATGTGCAAACTGCGGAGTGATCTGGGTAAGTCTTGCATCGCAGAGGGTCTGCATCTCAAAGGGGAAGGCAGTGGGGAGCGCAGTGGTCCCTAGAAGCAGCCATGTGTGTTTTTTGGGCAGCAGGGACCCGAGTCTTAAGGGCGCTTGTGAGAGCTCCAGTCTCTGCTGTGTCCGTTTAATGCCAGGAGTTGCAGCTGAGCTGCTTCTCTGAGCCATTGGCATCACTGAAAGGGAGAAGCTGAAACTCCCCTGGGCACGGTGTCGATAAGAGTATTCGGTGCACAGGTTCCTTTGAAAGAACCTCCTAATGCTCCTTTATGTGGTAGCAGTGTCCCCCTTCCCTCCGCCTCCCCACCCTGTTGCTGGTAGAGTCGCTGCTTTTCCTCTTAAATGCACATGCCACCATCTTCTGAACTTGAAAAGTATCTGGGGCGTTTGTGTGGATCAATATTGCAGGGAGAGATGGGAGCCAGAAAGGGCGAAATCTTTATGGACCGTCCATTTAGATCAGCAGTAGGTAACCTGTGGCACATGTGCCAAAGGCAGCACACGAGCTGATTTTCAGTGGCACTTGCACTGCCTGGGACCTGGCCACCGGTCCGGGGGGCTCTGCATTTTAATTTAATTTTAAATGAAGCTTCTTAAACATTTTAAAACCTTATTTACATTACATACAACAATAGTTTAGTTATATATTATAGACTTATAGAAAGAGACCTTTCAAAAACGTTAAGATGTATTACTGGCACACGAAACCTTACATGAGAGTGAATAAATGAAGACTCGGTACACCACTTCTGAAAGGTTGCCGACCCCTGCTTTAGCATATAAGCTCTTTGGGGCAGACTGTCTCACTTTTGTCCAAGTGATGCACCTAGCACAACAGGACCTGGATCTATTTGGACCTGTAGGTTTTACTGTCACATAGATAACTTTTCTACATTAACTAAAGGAGCTGACTGTTTTAAAGAGTGTACTGAACATAGAGTGATCCTCACCGAGCACAGAAAAGCAGTGCCCTTGGGCATGCATTTGATTTGTTTAGACCAGGGGTTCTCAAACTGGGGGTCAGGACCCCACAGGGGGTCGTAAGGTTATTACCTGGGGGGTCATGAGCTGTCAGCCTCCACCCCAAACCCTGTTTTGCCTCCAGCATTTATAATGTGTTAAATATATAAAAAGGTGTTTTTAATTTATTAGGGGGGGTCGCAATCAGAGGCTTGCTGTGTGGAAGGGGTCACCAGTACAAAAGTTTGAGAACCCCTGGTTTAGACAGCAGTGCTAGCAAATACATGTAGCTGAATCAAGTGGTGAAAGATCTAGGTTCAAACTGACACGGGACTGAGAACTTGAGCATATAGCACACATACTGAGGTTAGAAGTAGGGCTGTCAATTAATCGCAGTTAATTTTTTGAAGTTAAACTCACATGAGTTAACTGCGATTAAAAAAATTAATCACGATTAATCGCACTGTTAAACAATAGAATACCAATTGACATTTATTAAATATTTTTGGATGTTTTTCTATATTTTCAAATACATTGATTTCTAGTACAATACAGAATACAAAGTGTACAGTGCTCACTTTATATTATTTTTATTACAAACATTTGTACTGTAAAAATGATAAAAGAAATAGTATTTTTCAATTCACCTCCTACAAGTACTGTACTGCAATCACTTTATTGTGAAAATGTAACTTACAAATGTAGATTTTTTTTTTTGTTACATAATGGCACTCAAAACCAAAACAATGTAAAACTTTAGAGACTACACGTCCAGTCGGTCCTACTTCGTTTTCAGCCAATCGCTAAGACAAACAAGTTTGTTTACATTTACAGGAGATACTGCTGCCTGCTTCTTCTTTATAATGTCACCTGAAAGTGAGAACAGGCTTTTGTTCTTATGGCACTTTTGTAGCCAGTGTTGCATGGTATTTACGTGCCAGATATGCTAAACATTTGTATTCCTCTTCATGCTTCAGCCACCATTCCAGAGGACATGCTTCCATGCAGAGGATGCTTGTTAAAAAAAAATAATGAATGAATTAAATTTGTGACCTAACTTCTTGGGGGAAGAATTGTATGGCCCCTGCTCTGTTACCTGCATTTTGCCATATATTTCATGTTACAGCAGGCTCGGATGATGACACAGCACATGTTTGTTTTAAGAACACTTTCATAGCAGATTTGACAAAACACAAAGGTACAAATGTGAGATTTCTAAAAATAGGTATAGCGCTTGACCCAAGGTTTAAGAATCTGAAGTGCCATCCAAAATCTAAGAGGAATGAGGTGTGGAGCATGCTTTCAGAAGTCTTAAACGACCAACACTCCGATGCGGAAACTACAGAAGAACCTAAACCACCAAAAAAGAAAATCAACCTTCTGCTGGTAGCATCTGACTCAGATGATGAAAATGAACATGCGTCTGTCTGCTCTGCTTTGGATCATTATCAAGCAGAACCTGTTATCAGCATGGACGCATTCCTCTGGAATGGTGATTGAA